GGCGGGGCTAGGGCAGGACAGGGGCGGGGCTCCTCCCGTCCTCTTTTTTCCGTGCTGAAATATGGTAACCCTATCTAATAGTAGCTCTAAAAACCGAACTCTAAAACTCTGAGGTAAGAGAAAGTGGACTGCTCTCCACCCTGTCTCAGGCCAGAGGGTGGTTCACCTGCTCAGCACAAGTTAGCCTCAAGGCAGAGCATGCGGGAGGGAGAGCGCATGTGCAGGCCGAATGGACACGGCTATCAAAGATCTCCAATCAGAGACACAGGGACACAGACACGCCTACAGTGGAGCACCCATAGGGACACATCTGAAAGAAGAAACCTGGGTTCTATCCTGGCTGACGGAGGAGAGTGGGTTCTCGTGGGTTAGAGCCAGGAGGCGAGTGTCTGGGAACAGTCTAGACTCCTGGGATCTATCCTGGCTCTGGGAGCGGAGTGTGGTTTGGGACGGGGCTGGGGTTTGGAGCCTGGACTCCTGGGTTCTGTTGTCCGTTCCTTTCAGGATGGATCCCTGGCTCACAGCCTGTCTCCGTGGGGTCACCACGCCCCACATGTCAAGGGCAGTTGCTCGCGACATGCAGCAATAGCTGCTGACCCTAATTCAGTGAGTAGCGCTTGGTGAGTGGAGTCCAGTGCCAGGAACCTCAAGTCCCCGATGGAGCCCAGGAACCCTTCACTGGATCCACGTGTGGAACCAAGCCAGGGATGGCTTCCCCACAGCCACCTGAGTATGAATCAGGCTCAGTGCCCTCCAGGGGGAAAGGCCTCATCTCCCATCCCTCTAACTTTGCAGCCCCCTAACCCAGCACAGTGGCCTGGAGCAAATGGTTCCTAGGGTAGATAGACTGCACTCCCCACACCTCCCCGTCTCCATCAGCCCCTCAATCCTCGACATCCCAGCCTTTGACCTCAGAACACCAGTTTTGATGCCTTGGTCAAGGTCCCGTGAGACCATGTGACGAAGTTTGGGATTTTTGTAGTGTTTTCCATTAATAGCGTGTGCACTCCTCAGTTTCCCTGTGTGCTGTATGTTTAACAAGGTGGTGGGAGAGGGTTTGTTGTTGCAGAGGATCAGGTGTGACCTTGCCTGGCAGCTGGGACCCCCAAATAATGGCCTGGAGAAGGGGAACCCTAACAACTGGTGACCTGGAGACTAAGAGGCCCACCCCAGCTTGGCAGTCAGCTGGTTCTGGCCAGTGGGAGGACAATGGGCTGAGGAGAGAGGACCCCGGTGACCCGACCAGCCAGTTCCAGCCAGAGGGGAACAAAGTACTGAAGAGAGAGGGACCCAGCGACCTGTTTACCTGGGATGGAAGACAAAGGACAGGGTGGAGCTGTTGGGGCCGGTGATATCAGATGCCCAGCTGGAAAGCGCAGGGTCTCTGGACTGGAGAGAGGGAGCAGGCAGAGCCCACCTGGATGCATAGGCGTGCGCACAGGGTGTGTCGTGTGTGCCCCGGCACACCCGAATGCCCTGAGCTCCGGCTGGGAAAGCTGCTCCTTCCCCCTCCCCTCCTCAGCTGTTTGCCAGGCAGGCTCAAATCAACTGCTTCCTGCCTCCCTGCTCCGCAGGGGCTGAGTGAGTCTCACACACACACAAAAGCCTTAGGGTTAGGTGTGGGCGGGAGTGCGGGGCTATCAGCAGCCGCACAGCCAGCCCCTGCTTGCTTAGGGCTGCCCCGCACCTCTTGGGCTGGTGGCCATGGCGTCCACGTGTATGGCTGCTCCCTGCCAGCCAGGCTCCACTCCGGCCACAACAGGCAGCAGGTGACCCAAGGGAGCCCAGCTAGGCCAGGGCTGGGTGCAGTGGGAGAAGCTCCAGATACCGGCAGGAGCCATGAGGGGGTGGGGGAAGAGAAGCCCCAGACGGGGCTGGAGCCACGTGGGGGGGAGGGAGTGGGGGTGGAGGAGAAGCCCGGACCCCGGCAGGAGCTGCATTGGGGGGGAGGGGAGAAGCCCGGACCCGAGCAGGAGCTGCACTGGGGGGAGAGGGGAGAAGAGGAGAAGCCTGGACCCTAGCAGGAGCTGCAGGGGGGGGGGGGGGGGGGGGGCCCCCGGGGGGGGGGGGGGAGGGGGCCGGGCCCCGGGCAGAAGGGTGGGTGGGATCCCCGTCTCGGGAGCCCCAGCCACCCTAGTGGCAAAAGTTGCAGGGCTGAAGCCCTGACCCCATGCTGTGTGGAGCTGGCCTGAGCCCCTCTGTCTCCCATCCCACCTGTGGAGCTGGGGCTGCATGCTTCTGGGGGCAGTGTTTGGCTCCGCGGGGAGGCTAGGACCCTCATCTCATGGTAAGGGGTCCAGGGCCAGGGGGGTTGGATAAGGGGTGGGGGCAGTCCGGGGACAGGGAGCAGGGTGGGTTGGCTAGGGGGTGGGATCCCGGGGGGGTGGTGGTTAGGGGCAGGGGGTCTCTGGAGGGGGCAGTCAGGGAGCAGGGGGTGTTGGATGGGGCATGGGAGTCCCACGGTCTGTCAGGGGGCAGGGGGTGGATAGGGGTCAGGGCAGTCAGGGGACAGGGAGCAAGGAAGGTCCTGGGGGGGCAATTGGGGGGGGTCTTTGGAGGTGGTGGTCAGGGGACAAGGAGCTGGGGGGGTTTTATGGGTCAGGAGTTCTGGGGGGGTGCCTGTCAGGGGGTGGGGAGCGGTTGGATAGGCATGGCAGTCCTGGGGGTCTGTCTAGGGGCAGGGATGTGGATAAGGGGCGGGGCAGTCAGGGGACAGGTAGGGGGTAGGGTCCTAGGGGGGCAGTCAGGGGACAAGGAGCAGGGAGGCTTAGATAGGGGGAAGGGTTCTGGGGGGCAGTTAAGGGCAGGGGTCCCAGGAGGTGGTAGTCAGGGGACAAGGAGCAGGGGGGGTTGGGGGTTCTGAGGGGGGCAGTCAGGGGTCGGGAAGTACGAGGGAGTGGATGGGGGCAGGATGGGGGTGGGGCTAGGGCAGGGTGGGGCTCCCTGGGTGCACACCCTAATGAAATGGGCTGGGCATGCCTATGCCTGGATGCAGGAGAGACTTAGATGTACTGTGCTGAGGGAGGCCAGGCCTGAGGGTCCTGAGAGTTTCCTGTGCTGTGTTCAGACACTCAGTAAACACTCCTGTTTTACACTGGCTGAGAGTTGCTTCGGTCTAGAGAACAGGGTGGCATTATTCCCTCTGGGAGTGGAGGCTCCAGGGGTCCAGAGCAAGTGGACTCCCTGAGGGGGCCCTTGGTGAGAGACAGGCGTGCTAAGGCTCAGAGAGGTGGAGGGGCTTAACCCCTGAGAGAGTGGACCCCCGAGAAGGGCTGTCACGCTGAAGGGGTTTCCCCCAGTGACCATATGGGGCCAAGAGTGGGCATGATCTGTGGGTCCATGACAGACCACTCCCCACATCAGCTGCAACCTCCCTGCCCCCATGGCCTACACTCCCCACACCACCCCGCTCCCATGCTGCCAGGCTCCCTTCCAGCCCCCCTTCCTGCACTCCCTCCATGCCACCCCTTTCCCCCCCTGTCGGCCTGAACTCCCCATGCTGTCCCCTCCACTACTGCCAGGCCCCCTCCCTGCCTCCCCGGCCTGCACTCCCCACACCACCCCCTCCCCTGCTGCCAGGATCCCTCTCCCCATCCCAGCCTGCGCTCCCCATGCCTCCCACTTCGCAAGCTGTTAGTGATCCCCCTCTACCTAACCCCATATTTCCCATCTCCCCCCACTCCCCACATCTATCACCCACATAGCCCCCTATCTGCTCCCTGACCCCACTGTGACAGTGCACCCCATATTCATCATAGTGCTGCTTATGATGTGATTATTGCATAATTATGATGCATTTTGTACAAAATGGGTCATGTGAGGTGTCATTGCAAAAGTTATGATTTGCCAAATATGATTATCCTATTTGTGGGCATGTATCATTTTTGTATCTGAAGTTTTGAATATTGACTATGAACTCGTATTTCAAATGTGCTTACTGTGGATAACCCCCACAGCTAGCCTTTCAGGTACAACAATGAAGAAGCTAGACAGTGCTAATGGTTCATCAACAAAGACAATGGACCATGGAAGAGCTTAGCCTTCCTGTGTGAACGTTTCAGCCAGCCTATGAGTAATGGATGCTATGACTCAGCAAGGCATGTAAGGGCATGTGACCAGGCCACATGATATTGAACGCCATTTTGGTACCTATATTTGTCTACAAACTGGAGTGGACTGAGTTTGGAAAAAAAGGTTCCCACTATATGTTAAAGTTATACAAGGCAGGGAGTGACATCAGCTCGTGGCCTCACTTCCCACACAAGGACACTCCTGGAAACACCTGGGAACAAAGACTGAATTGGGGGAAGTGCTGGTCCCAGGCTAAAGGGATTTTTAGCCAATGTATGGAAACTCAATTGACTGCTTGTATCATCAGTAAGGTTGAGAAATTGCCACTTCAAATATTATCCCTCTAGTATTTTAGACTTGGTAATCTGCTTTGATCTGTTTGCTATCACTTAAAATCTATCTTTCTGTATTTAATAAACATGTTTTATATTCTTATCTTTACCAGCAGGTTTTCAATGAAGTGGCTGGGAAAATCTCATCTCTGTAAACAAAGGCTGTTTCATATCTTTCCCACATCAAGGGGAAAGCAAACTATATTAATGAGCTTGCATTGTACAGTGCAAGATGGTATAATACTGGGTTTATACTCCAGTGAGGGTGAAAGGCTGGGGAGCTGAGAAATTGGCTGTTGTCTTCTGTCTGTCCTTGAGTGGCTTAGGTAAAGCACTCAGGTAGCTCAGTTGGGTGTGTGGTACCACCTGCTGTCAAGTTGGGTGATAACAGGGCCTGGAGAGGCTGGCTGAATCTCTACAAAGCAGTGTGAGAGAGGCCTGCCCAGCTGGTGGGTTGGGGGCACAGCGATTCCCACAGCTCCCAGGCTGCACCCTGGGGGTTGACAACCCATCACACTCATACCCCACCCCCACCTCTATCCCCCCCCCCCATGTCCCAAGTCCCCCCACCCCAGGAATCACACTGTGAGTGCAGGATGAAATCCAGTCTCTTTATTCCATGAACAGCCCCTACGGCACAGTGACGGGTGGGTCCCCAGGACCTGTCCAAGGATCGGAGGAGGAGGGGCCGGGAGCCACTCAGCTGTATTCCCTGAAGAGCCCAGAGTGGCTGGGTTGGGGTGATGGGTCCCCTGGGCCAGGGGGACTGAGGGGGACATGACATTGGGGAGCAGGATGCCATGGGGGGATGGCTGGCAGGCATGGGAGATATGGCTGGATGGCATGGGGGGTTATGGCACTGGGGGGCTGGATGGCATGGAAGGGTGGCTGGCATGGGAGGATATGGCACTGGGGGATATTGCATGGGGGGCTGGATGGCATAGGGGCAGCTGGTATCTCTGGTGTCAGTGCATGGAGGGGAGGGGGTAGAGTCTGCAGCACCCCTTGGAAGGCTGAGGGGGGCACTCACTAGCAAACCCCTCAGATGCCCTCTGTGGGGGTTGCTCCCCCAGATCTCAGCCCCTCCCCCCCATGATGGGAGGAGCTGTCTGAGTGCCAGGGACCTGGAGGAACCCTACCCCAGCCCTGCCTGCCATGCCTTGGCCATTGGGAGGGGATGGAGGGTGGGGGACTCAGGGGAGTCTGCTCTGGGAGTCCACGAAGCAGCCCCCTGGGGCAATGGGGTACATGCCATTTGCGAATGGAAACACGAGCTCCTTCAGGGAACGTGCCTGGGGTCCTGAAGGCTGCCATCATGTATGCCTGTCTCAGCCTCGGGGTGGGGCCTCAGGACCCATTGGCAGCCATCTTGGACATTTCCCCCATCTCCACGGTGCCTTGGGTGTGGCAAAGTTGGGACCCATTGGGCAGCCATCTTGGAGGCATCCCCCATCCTCTCATGTGGCTGGGACCATGGGATCCCAGTATGCAGGTGTCCTGGACACCACTTCGAGTCTGTCTCAGGCCTAGGAACCCACTGGGCGGCCAGCCTGGAGGCCTCACCCAAGTCCCTGAGAGGCTGATGCTTTGCGCTGGTAACCTGGGACCAGGCTGGAAGCTGTTTGGGGCTCTGATGCCCTTCCCTCCCCGTGTCCAGGATGCCCCACGTCAGGCCTCCGCTCCTCAGAACCAGAACGTGCTGGCAGTGAAGTAACCAAAACAACCTGAAGCGCGCAAAATGTGCAAACCAGAAAGCGCGAGTGCAGTGCCCAGAGGCGGGGGCCGGGGGCTGGAGCAGGCCGAGGCCAAGCTTTGCATTGCGTGAGCAGTGGCCATGTTGCTTCCCCCATCATGCATTGTGGCGGGGGCAGCCTCGCTCACCATGAGGCGAAGGGATGTGTCTAAAAGAGCGAGGTGCCCACTGCCCATCCCCCGTGGGGCTGGGAGAGTGAGCGCTAGGGTTCACAACAACATGCTTTGTTTGGGGCGACCCCAGGCGTGCAGGGTGCGTGGGGGAGCCAGCTGGGGGGCAATCTCTGGGGGGCGCCCCATCTCGAATCACTCCCCTCGTCCTTCATTCGTTCCTCGCCGTTACCTCAGGCCTGCAACAAACAATGTCACTCAAAACCAGGCCACCTTGACCACAGCCCCTGCAGCCAAAGGAGAACCTCGCTGCTGCTAGCAGTAGTGGGCTGTTATCCTCTCTGGGGTCCACCATGGGAGCAGGATGTGATGCTGTGTTACAACAAATTGTAGTTGAGATAGGGAAAGGAGTGGGGCCTAGTGGTTAGACTGGGAGCCAGGACTCCTGGGTGCTCTCCTGGCTCTGGGAGAGGAGTGGGGTCTAGTGGATAGAGCAGGGGGGGCTGGGTTCTCTCCTGGCTCTGGCCCGCAGGGCAGGGGCACAAAGCACAGCGCTAGGGTGGGTGCAGGGAGCTCTTGTGCCCCCACCAAGGAAGGGAGGGGCCATGGGGCTGGCGGAGGCAGTCGGTGCTGGGGTGGCAGCAAGGCAGAATCTGATGGGAGGATGCAGGGTAGCACCAAATCCTGTGGGTCAGGGCGACCCCCAGGGCTCCCGGCCGTCTGGGCTTACCCGCCACACGAGGTCCCCCAGGCTCGCGGACGGCCCCCAAGAACTATTCCGCCACCTGCACCCCGGCACAGTTCTCCTTGCTCTCCGACGTGATGGCCAGGTACTCGGAGCTGTGAAGAGACGGGGGTGAGGACAGCCTGCCACCCACTGCCTACCCTAGGGTTGCCAACTTTCTAATCGCACAAAACTGAACACCCTAGACCCACCCCTTCCTGAGGCCCTGCCCCCCGCTCACTACATTCCCCCTCCCTCCATGGCTCGCTCTCCCCCACCCTCACTCACATTCACTGGTCTGGGGCAGGGGGTTGGGGTGCAGGAGGGGGTGAGGGCTCTGGGCTGAGGATAAGGGTTTCAGGGTGCAGGAGGGGGCTGCGGGTTGCAGCAGGGGGTTGGGGTGCAGGGGGGATGAGGGCTCCATCTGGGGATGCAGGCTCTGGGGAGGTGCCAGGGATGTTTGGAGTGTAGGGGGGGGGCTCCAGGCTGGGAGGTGGGGCAGAGGGGTTCAGGGTATTGGAGGGAGCTCTGGGCTGGGGCAGGGAGTTGGGGTACGGGGGGGTGAGGGCTCCATTTGGGGGTGCGGGCTCTGGGGTGGAGCTGGGGATGAAGGGTTTGGGGTGCAGGAGGGGGCTCCAGGTTGGGGGGTGGCTCAGGGCTGGGGGTTGGGGCAGGGGGTTGGGGTGTGTGCTTACCTCCTGCGGCTCCCAGTCAGCAGCACAGTGGGGAGGCAAGGCAGGCTTCCTGCCTGTCCCGGCTCCGCGCTGCACCCCAGAAGTGGCCAGCAGGTCCAGTTTCTAGGCGGGGGGCAGCCAGGAGGCTCTGCGCGCTGCTCTCACCCGCAGGCACCACCCCACAGCTCCCATTGGCCATGGTTCCCACCCAATGGGAGTGCAGAAACAATCTGGGGGTGGGGGCAGCGCGTGGAGCCCCGTGGCCTCCCTGTCTAAGAGCCGGACCTGCTGGCTGCTTCCGGGGTGCAGCGTGCAGCCAGGACAGGTAGGGACTAGCCTGCCTTAGCCTTGTAGCACTGGACTTTTAACAGCCCGGTCGGCGGTGCTGACCAGAGCGCCAGGGTCCCTTTTCAACCGGGTGTTCCGGTCGAAAACTGGACACCTGGTCACCCTAGCACAGCCGGCCTGCCCCCCAGGCACTCCCCACCTGGGTCCTGCCCACCCCAGCCCCCACCTGCCCCTCTGAGCCCCCCCAGCTCCCTGCACTCACGCATTCTCCTGTGCAGCTGCCTCCGTGGCCGCCGCGATCTTCTTGTAGCAATAAATCATCTCAGCCACCAGCCAGATGGTGAGCACCACGATGAGCACATACATCATGATCTCTGACACGATGGATGCCATGTCCCGGTTCGCTGCGGGAGGGGAGAGGGTGAGACCCCCCCACAGCCCCCTCCTCTGCCCCAGCACCACTCCTTGCTGGAGAAGCCAGCTCAGCACCCAGCACCTCGCAGGTCTGGCAGGGCCCCGGCCCGGCAGACAGCCCAGTCTCAGCACCCCCTCCAGGAACCTGAGCTCTGTCTGCAATAGGACAGGTTCCCCTGGCTCCTGGGGGCTGCCCCAGACCCTCCCACCTCTGGCTGTCAGAAACTGACTTCTCCCAACACTGCCATGGCCGCCTGCCCAGTTCAGTCCCAATGGGCCTTTAGCCCCTTAGCTCTTCCCTGCCTGCTCCCCCCCCCCCCGCTGAATTTATGGGGCGCACACGGACCCTCCCAGCATGCTCTGGGAAGTAACCAAGCCCAGCTCTTCCCGCCCATCTCGGGAGCTCGGCCTGAGTGTCCCGCAGCCCCCTGCACCAGCCCAGGATGAGTGTACAGCCCCACTCCTCTGTGTGGCTCTACTCCTGGTGTGTACCTCCACCCCCATGTGTGTGGCTCCACCCCCTTGTGCCCTCATTCCCCGTGGGTATGGCCCCTTCCTCCATGTGTGTGGCCCTCTCCCCATGTGATTCAACCCCCCATGTATGTGCCTCCACTTCTGTGTACATGGTGCCACCCCCATACCTGGGCTGTCCCATGTGTGTAGCCCCACCCCAGTGAGTCAGACCCCCTCCCTCCATGTGGCCACAGCCCACATGTGTATGGCCCCAGCCTTGTGTGTGGCCTTGCCCTGATGTCTCTGGCCCCGCCCTCTGTAGGTAGCCCCACCCCTATGTGTTGACCTGCCCCCATTACTGTGACTTCCCTGTACCTGTGGCTCTGCCCCATGTACGTGGCACTAGGGCGACCAGAGGTCCTGATTTTATTGGGACAGTCCCGGTATTCAGGGCTTTGTCTTATATAGGAACCTCTTACCCCCCACCCTCTGGTCACCCTAGTGGCTCCACCCCTGCCCATGGCCCCACCCCCTGCCTGCGGCCCCACCCACTCACCCTTGTCCACCACCTCAACGTGGATGGTCTTGTTGATGACGATGTTGTAGACGTAGCCATCGAAGGTGAGGTTGCGGTCGACGCGGCACAGGTACTCGCCCGCCTGCGCGTAGGTCACGTTGGTCAGGAAGATGGACAGATCCTGCAGATCCCGTGTGTTCTTGCTGCCGTTCCACACCACCAGATCCTGGAACCGCTCGTCCACCACCTCCAGCAGCGCATCAGGGTCATAACGCAGGATCTGGGGGGAAGGAAGTCAGACGGCCGGCCATGCACTGCAGGGGACGCCTGTCCCAGACCACAGCCCCATGGGGGTCGCCTGCCACAGACCACAGCCCCATGGGGATCGCCTGTCCCGGACCAGACCCCCATGGGAGTCGCCTGCCACAGACCACAGCCCAACGGGGGAATGCCTGTCCCAGACCAGATCCCCATGGAAGACATCTGACCTGGACCAGACCCCCACGGGGTCGCCTGTCACAGACCATAGCCCCATGGGGGATGCCTGTCCCAGACCAGACTCCCCTGGGGTCGCCTGCCACAGACCACAGCCCAACGGGGGACACCTGTCCCAGACCAGACCCCCATGGAAGACATTTGTCCTGGACCAGACCCCCACGGGGGACGCCTGCCACAAACCACAGCCCCATGGGGGTCGCCTGCCCAGACCACAGCCCAACGGGGGATGCCTGTCCCAGACCAGACCCGCCTGGGGTCGCCTGCCACAGACCACAGCCCAACGGGGGATGCCTGTCCCAGACCAGACCCCCATGGAAGACATCTGTCCTGGACCAGACCCCCACACAGGATGCCCGTCAGGGACCAGACCCCCACGGGGGATGCCTGCCATGGACCAAAGCCCATGGGGGAAAGACATCTGTCCTGTCCTGCCACAAACCACAGCCCCACAGGGGACGCCTGCCACAGACCACAGCCCAACGGGGGACGCCTGTCCCACACCAGACCCCCATGGAAGACGTCTGTCCTGGACCAGACCCCCACGGGGGACGCCTGTCATGGACCAGATCCCCACAGGGTCACCTGCCACAGACCATAGCCCCATGGGGGATGCCTGTCCCAGACCAGACCCTGCCAGAGACCAGAACCCCATGAAGGGCAGCGGTGGTGTGCTGGGGACAGGACAGCAGCCTCAGCACTGTGGGTGAGATGAGGAGCTTGCATGGACGGGGCAGGCCAGGGGCTGGTGAGTCTCCGTGTAACTCGTCTGCACGACCTCGCAGGGCTGCTGGGACTCCGGCATTTCCCAGTAATCACCATTTGGGGCTCCCCATGCTGGGGTCAGCTGAGCACCTGGCGTGAAACATCTCAGGGAGTGGGATTGTGGGGGGCTCTCTGGGGTTACCCCACTGGGGGAGCTAGGAAAGTGGAAGCCAGGCTGACACCCTCATGTTCGTGGGCAGCTAGTGGGGCCAGCCCCATGGAGAGTGACCCCCCCCATGGCCCCACGGACAGTGACCCCCCTGGCCCCACAGCATCATAGGGAGTGACACCCCCCTTCCATATTCAGTGAAGGGAGACATGAGGCAGGATGGATGTGGTATCTGTTTTTCATAGGAGGTTCTAACCTCCTGGGAAGAGGATGGGGTCTACTGGTTAGAGCCGGGGGGCTGGGAACCAGGTCTCCTGGGTTCTATCCCCAGCGCTGAGTGGGGAGAGAAGTCTAGGGATTTGGGGATGAGGAGGTGGAGCATAGTGAGCAACCAGCAGAGAACAAGCCTTGTCTGCCTTCACCCAGCTCAGGGCAGCTGGTTAGTGACCTGGGCCTGTCTGGAACAGGCCAGTGCTGAGATGCAGCCACCTCTGGGGTGGGGCCCAGCCGCTGTCTAACAACACATGGGGTTGGACTGGGCAGTGAAGGAGGAGGCTGCGTGCAGGGGAAGCCACAGGGAGGAGAAGGGAAAGCCCTGGACAGGGACCTGATTCCCCCTCCTGTACCCCGTGCTCCCTCCAGTGCAGTCCAAACCCCCCAGCCAGCCCTCGCGCACCCTGGTGAAGGTCTCAGTGCCCTTCTCCCTGAAGTACCACTCCGTGTAGGCCTCGGCCGAGGTCTCGCTCCGCTTCTTGCAGGAAATGCAGAGGATCTTGAAGGTCATCCCAAAAACGGCCTCGGTGTGGGAGTCCACCTCCACGCAGCCGGCACAGCACGACGAAACTGAGGGGGGGAGGGTTTTAAAGGGTCACACACAGCCCCCTCCAGGCCCCACAGGAGCACCAGCCCCAGCCCCCCCCAAGCTGCATCCCCAAAACTGATCTGCACCGCCAGAACCACCCCAGCACTCCGCATCTGCACCCCATCATCACCTGATCTACACTCCCTCCACCAGCACCCCCAGATCTGCACATTCAGTACCCCCAGAACCACCCCCAGCCCCTGGGCTCCCCCATATGCTCCCCCTTCCCCTCCCTTCGCTCCAATCAGTTCTCGAGGGGCTGCACTGGTCCTGCTCCCTGGGGGAGCTGCAGGTCACTCTCCCAGCCGGAGAGGTGGGGATCAAGGCAAGGGCCTGGGAAAGCCACTGTTGGCTGGACAGAATCACATCTGCTCTGTGGGTGTGTCTGTCTGTGTCTGTGCGGGCCCCCAGCATGCACCAGATTACCTTGGGGCAGTGCACCAGCAGAGCTGCGGGTTGGCAGTGAGGAGCACCAGCAGAGGTGAGGGTGGAGCTCAGGGCTGGGCTAGCAGGGGACTGCAGGTCAGGAGTAAGAGGCACCGGCAGAGATGCAGGGAAGCCCAGGGCTGGGCTAGCAGGGGGCTGCGGGTCCGGAGTGAGGGGCACCGGCAGAGCTGAGGA